TGTTGACGGGTTTGGACTTCTTCTTGCCCTTGCCACTCTTGGGGACCTCAGTCCACATCTCCTTCACGTTCTCCAGCACCATGTTGCAGTGCCTGGTGGGGAGAAACACACCAGGAATGAGGGGGAGTCCTACGAGAATGGCTTCCCCTGTGGGATAGTGGGGCACAGCACAGGCTGTGGGACCAGGACTGTCGTGTTCCCATCCTATCTCCGCAAGTTCCCAAGTTGAGGCCCCGGTTTCCTGCGACAATGTCTGCCTCCCAGGGGTCCTGTAAAGAGTAGATTTATTAATCCAGTATTTCTCTAAGTGCTGGGACTGGGGGACTAATTGTTCTGCATATGCTTTTTCTCTGCTTCCAGAAGCACCTGATGGGGCTTGGGGCTGCACACAACCCCCGAATTCCAGTCCAGCTTTGATCTTGGCCTCAGGCTGTCTGGTGGGCAGGTGAACACCAGCGTGGGTTAGCGTGTTCCACAGATCCTGGTGGAATGCTGACTCCTCTGATCACTTAAAATGGACAGGGTGACAAATAAAACAGTGTTTCTGACCTCATGAGGTGTGGATGCTAATCCATCCATCCATCCTCATCACAGACTGAAGTTGATTATTCATTAGGAAACTGAGACACAGGGCAAGAAAATGAAACCTAAGGTTACGAAGCCTCATGTGAATGCAGGTCCGATAGCCCGTCCTTATAAGGTCCTGTTATTGTTCTCGCTCTCATTTAACAAACAGAAACTGAGGCTCAGTGTGAAAGACCTGAGCAAGGTCACAAAGTGGCAAGGCCTTTCCAGAGTGAGTCCTCAGCATGGCAGCCTGAAAAACTCGTCGACTGCAGTTACCGTGCTCCCTGGGGTTTTCTTTTTAGATAATTTTTATTTATTCTTTTTACGTGTGTACCGTCAAATTGGATCTGACTGGTACAGGAGGCGATTGTTCCTCCTTCTTCAGCAGAGCATCTGGTGGATTTGAACCACGCACCACCAGAGCTCGCCATCCCTGGGGTTTTCAATACCTGACTTTTCAGAAGCCAGGCCTCTCTTCCAGCATGCCTGTGCGTGGAATTGAACACCCAGCCTTTCAGTGTATTTAACTGCTGACGCCAGCCCAGAGACCTTCCCAGGAAAGCATCGCCTAGGTAATAATTCATTCAAGGGCTGCAGGCACTGATATTAGGATTACTGTATAATATTGTGATTGTATTTTTCTATATAAAAATCAGATAGATGGATAGTCTGAAAACAGAAAAACCCACCAAATCCTGTTATGGTTAATAATCTGTCAACATGGTCTTGATTTTCAGCATAATGGAAGTACTCTATGCTGCTGTACAGTCTTGTCTCTATGACAGTAATAAAGCAATATTAGAAGCAAATCTGTAAAGACATCTGATTAAAGGTAGGTCTCCTCATGGTGCAGCCTGCCTAGTTTTTGTGCAAAAAGTCTGGCAAAATGTTAGAAATGTTTTTCTCAAATAACTGTGTGGCCTGTGGTCTTCAGACTTAAACCAGCGCCTGTCACACTATTTTTCAACAAGGACTTCTGGATGTGTCAGCCTCTGAAGCCACCAGGTGGTACCTCTAAAGCCAGCAGCCTGACACCATCTTCCCAGACATCCTAGACAAAGGAATTTGCCTTTTACAAGCATATGAGCCATTTCCTGGAAATAAATCTCTCTCTCGAAGCCTCTGGTTTTGCTCCCATAGAGAACCCAGCCTAAGACATCCTCTATTTTCACATAATGAACTTCTGCGCGGTGAGGAGCAGGTCTATTATTACATGCTTGCTGGTGGCTGTCCCACCGGCGGCACAAGCTGCCTGAGAGAAAAATGCCTGCCTTGTCACCGCTGTAGTTCTGGAACATTGGCCAGCACAACTGAGTGCTTGTCAACCATGTATTAACTCATCATGTACCTCACATGCATTCATTCAATCACCGCATCTTTACAACCACCACAATGAAGCATTTGAGTTGGAGGTTGAAGCCCACACAGAGGTGTCTTTGGAGAAAGGCCTGCCGATCTGTTTCTGAAAAATCAACCAACGGAAATACTACAGAGCACAGGTCTACTCTGACACACAGCTGGTGGCCAAGAGTTGGAAGGGACTGATGAGAAAGTCAAGCAGAGCCGAGATTTGAACCCAGACGGGCTGGCTTCTAACTGCAAGTTTGTTTATAAACACTGCACTGAACCAGCGAGGGGGACAACAAAGGCAGCCACACCAAGGGCTTCGAGAAACCCTGCCTTCAGGCTTCTCAAACTGGAGTGGGGCTGGACCTGAGGGGGGTGAGGACAGACACCCTCCGGGCCTGGGGTGCTCACCTGTCGAAGGCCTTCACACGGCCCAGGAGCTTCTTGTTGTTTCGACAGTTGATGAGCACTTGCGTGTTGTTCTTGACCGACTGAGTGAGCACGGAGAGCGGGCCTGTGTTAAACTCCTCCTCCTCTCGCTTCTGCAGCTCCTCCGGGGTCATCTCACTCTTGGGCTTGTTGAGGAGGCTCCTGGGGGGAAAGACATGTGAGTGAGGGGGGTAGGGGCCGGACAGTCACTGTCTCACCGTTGGTGTCTCACCCCAACATGTCTCAGCATCACCGTTTGGAGGCCTGCTATCGAGCAAATCACATGTCCCCAAAACTGTCACTGAAATCCTAATACATGGACACATGATCCCATTTAAGGGATCACTGATGTTAAATGAGGCCAAATCTGTGTAAGGAATGAACCAAATTTAGTAACTGCTAGGTGATAAAAAAGCAAATCATATAAACCTATTATTGTACAATAAGCATGAGGATCCAAGGGCGGGGTGGAAGCAGAGGTGAGGACGTACCAGGGAAGGGGGGAATTAATCATGGGGATGCACAATTTGATGGAGGTTTAGGGAAATGGGAACTGGTGTGAAAAACAGTGCATTTGAATTTTGTAAATGAATTAGTTGTGTGGGGTTGTTTTTTTTTTAATTGATTATTTTGTTTGTGTGACCGTCAAATTGGATCTGACTGCTCCTCCTTCTCCAGCAGAGGACCTGGTGGATTCGAAACTGTGTATCTCTGGGATTGCAGTGCAGCTTCTTGCCACTAGGCCACCGAGCTCTATTTTTAAAGCCAATCTGACACATCAGCAAAGGATTGAGGGACACAGGGCCTATGAGGCAGGGGCTTAATCTGGTTTTTAAAGCTACCTATGCACAATATTTTGTGTCACAGCAACACTAGTTGACTAAAACAATGCCTACTAGACATCTCCAATACTGCACGCACCAAGTTCAGCTCCAGTCACCCCACTGACCTCCATTCACACTGCTCTCCACCTCTGGTGATGGCAATGTCATTCATCCAGTTCTTAGAGCAAAAAAGATCATGTCACCTGAGCTCCTGACTTACTCTCATCACCTGTCAGTAAATGCTGTCACAGGCCTCTAAAATACATGCTTATCCTGACTTATTTGTCCAACAGACATCACCCTGACCTAAACTTACCACTCTCTTGGAGTCTTTACAGGTCGTCTCCCTGCTTCCAGTTCTGACAGTCTAGTTTCTACAGTCCCTCAAAGGGTCACAAGAGGACCTAAGTTACTCTTTAAAACCATTTCATGGTTCCCACCCCAGTTGTTCTTGTTGGGTGGTGCTGAATCAACTCCAACTCACAACAACCCTGAAGAACAGAGTGGAAGGGAGCTCTGGTGGCTTAGTGGCAAGAAGCTGCACTGCAATCCTAGAGGTGCACGGTTCAAATCCACCAGATGCTCTGCTGGAGAAGGAGGGACAATCTCCTCCTGCACCAGTCAGATCCGATTTGACGGTACACACACAAACACACACAAACCAGGAAAAAACCACAAAACAAAAAAACCAGAGTGGAGCAGCTCAAAGGGCTTCCAAGGCCACATTGTTCTCAAGTGGCTCACAGGTCTGAAGTTAACAACTGCTGCAGTTTAAGCTACAAAACTGGAAGTTTTTGGGATTGACTAATACTGAACACACCTCGCGTTGCCAAAAGAACAAACTGTCTTGAAAGAAGTGCAGCCAGGATGTGCCTGAGAAGCGAGGATGGAAAGACTTTGTCTTGAACATATCAGAAATGTGAGTCCCCAGGGAAAGACATGATGACAAAAAGAACGACTTTCAAGGAGATGAATTAACCGCAAAAACAGGCTCAGGCACAGGAGAGACTGTGAGCGGGGGTACCGGCTGAGCAACACAGGGTTGCTCTGACAAGGAGCCAGCTAGACAGCACTTAGCAATGCCCTTTCCTCCTCTGCTTTAGCCACAATAGCACAGTCTTTGAGGGTCCAGCAGGCAAACTTTCATCTTAGGGCTTGTGCATTTGTATCTCCTGGGTGAGTTCTGCTAACATAGGGAATTAAGCATTCAACTGCCACCCAAAAGGCTGGTGGTTTGACTCCACCCAGCACTCCTTAAATACAGTAATGTGCACATCTCAAAAAATTATTAACTGGGAATCCCAAGGGGCAGTTCTCCATCCTGTGGGGTCTCTGTGATTAAGAATCAACTCTGTTGTGATGTAGTCACAACAACTGAAAAATGAGCAGAGGAGATGAACAGACACTTCACCAAAGAAACATTCAGATGGACAACAAACACATGAAAAAATGTTCAAAATCCCTAGCTCTAAGAAAGATGCAAATCACAACTATGAGATATCATCTCACCCCAGTCAGAATAGCAAAATTTAACAGAAGAGCAAGCAACAAATGCTGGTGAGGTTGTGGAGAAACTGGAACCCTTATTCACTGTTGGTGGGAGTGTAAAATGGTGCAACCACTGTGGAAGGCGGTATGGTGCTTTCTCAAAAAGTTACTAATAAAAATACCATTTGACCCAGCGGTTCCACTACTGGGAATTTACCCTAAAGAAAACAGAACTGCCACCCAAACAGATATATGCACACCCATATTTACTGCGGTTTTGTTCACAACAGCAGAGTTGAAAACAACCTAAGTGTCCATCAACAAACAAATGGATAGAGAAGCTGTGGTATATTCACACAATGGAATACTACGCTGCATTGAAAAACAAGGAACTCATTCAATATTATTCAAAACGGGTGACCCTGTAGGACATTATGCTGAGTGAACTATATCAGTCACAAAAGGACAAATACTGCATAGTGCCACTTTTGTAAAGCAGGACTGACATGGGGTTGGGGGAAACAAGAAGACAGGGGATAAATAATGTATACTGCATTGAAACAGATGAGGGAGAGAACTGTTCAGGAGGAATCTATGATTAGATATTATTGTCATGACAAGAGTCCAGAATGAAAGCTGCACAGTGGAGTGCACTGAGAGGGTTGTATAACAATGAATATTTTTTTTTTACTTTTCAAAGAGAAAAGCGAACTGGTGGAAGGGGTGGGCTGGGAGGAAAGTGTGCAACAATAAATGAATGGAAATCCAAAATCTCTGTAAACTTTTATTAAAATAAATTAAAAAAAAATTAATTCCAGTGGTTTTGGTCGTCGGCCTGGACCCAGGACCTCGCCCCGGATACCGGTTTCCCTCTGTTTCCAGGGGACTTTCTTTTTTTAAAAAAAAAAAAAAATATTATTTGTGTGTGTACCGTCAAATTGGATCTGACAGGTACAGGAGGAGATTGTCCCTCCTTACCCGGCAGAGCATCTGGTGGATTCGAACCGTGCGCCTCTGGGATTGCAGCACAGCTTCCTGCCACCAAGCCACCAGAGCTCCTCCAGGGGACTTTCTGTATTGATTGATTATCATCTCTCAACACTGGCATTCCTCATTGGTTTGGTCCTGTGCTGGGTTTTTTTTTTTGTAAAATGCCTCGCCTCAGGCACTTTACACTTTCCCTGCTTACTATATTTTTGTTTGCCTTTCTCTCTCTAAACGTTACTAGGGAAAGAAGTTTGGGGGGGGGGTTACATCTACAGCAGTGCCTGGCATAATCAGGGCATCCAATAAATATTTTGTGAATAAATGAGTAGAATAAGCCTAGTAATTCATCATCCACAAGAATCGCGGATTAGGTTGAAAAACCACGCGCCTCTAGATCAAACCTTCCAGTCGCTTCTCTCAAATCTTTCTGCCTAAAGGAGCACATTAGCCTCCCCCATGTTCTTTATACCGACAGCCGCTTCCTCTTCAAATATGCCTCAACGAGACTAATCATTTGGGAGAGACCCTCCTCCGAATTAATTATCCAGAAAAGCTTCCATTCCCGTTCTGACGTCCATTAAGAGAAATGACCACCCCTTGGAAAATTTGAGCCTCTGATCTCGGCTATCACCAAGGGGTCTCACACACCCCTTTTCAGCTGTTAACCCACCAACTTTACACCCTTAAGCCCAGTCCCGCCATCCAGTCTCCGCTGGGCCTCACACCCGCCATCCAGGCCCCGCGGGTACTCACATGGTGCCGGCTGCGGTCTCAAATCGTTCTTGTTCCCTCTGCGTTGCTTCTTCCTCTCAGAAGAGAGGCGGGACTTCCGCTTCCTAAATACATTTCCGTTGGCGCCTGCGTAAATCCAACTAGCCATGGGGGCGTGGTCTGTTGCCATAGCGATGCCCGCCAGCCTTGGTTGGTGGTGGTTCTGTGCCATCAAGCCGATTTCGACTCATAGCGACCCGATGGACAATAGCTCTGAACCTGCAACAATCAATGAATGGAAATCCAAAGTCTCCGTAAATTTTCATTGAAATGAATAATAAATTTTTTTTAAAAATCCCCCCCCAAAAAAAACCAGTAGCTCTGAACACTATCCTGAGCCAAACTCACTGTCTGTGACACACCTGACTCCATTACCGCAGTCAATCTATTTCATCCAGGGTCTTCCTCTTCTGTGCTGACCCTGTATCTTTCCAAGCATGATGTCCTTCTCCAAAGGGCTAGTCCCACTTAGCCACATGCCCAAAGTAAGGGAGACGGAGCTTCAAAATTCCTGCCTCCAAGAAACAAATTGTTTCACCCTCTTCATCCTCTCCAGGACAGACCTGTTTGTTCTCTTCGCAGGCCCTTAAGACTCTTCTCCGGCACCACAACTCAAAGGCATTGATTCTTCTGTAATTTTTAAATATTTCCTGTTGTGTACCGTCGAGTTTAATCAGGCTGACATAGAAAGAAATTGCCCCTCCTTCTCTAGCGGAGCATCTGGTGGATCCGAATGGCGCACCTTTGAGTTGCAGCGCAGCTTCTTGCCCCTAGGCCACCAGAGCTCCCTTTCTTCTGTAATTTTTATTTATTATCCAGCTCTCAGATGCATAGCAAGTAATTGAGAAGACAGTGGCCTGGATCAGACACACCTTAGTCTGTAGACTGACATCGTTGCTCTTTAGCACTCTGGAGAGATCCTGGACAGCAGATTTTCACAATGCAACTCGTCTTTTGATTTCTTGACTGCTGGTGTCAAGAGTGTTTTATTAAACCAACTCAAGGTGGATCGTGGATCTAGGACTAAAACCAAGAACTATAAACTTCATTAAAGAAAAACTTGGAAGAACTCTAGTAGTCTTAATCCACAACATAAACAGTCTTCCAAGTATCCTGAAAAATCTACAACCAGAAGAAGATAAAATAGATGAATGGGACCTTCTAAGAATCAAATCCCTATGCACATCCAAAAACTTCTCCAACACGGTAAAAAGGGAAGCCACAGACTGGGAAAAAGTATTTGATAATGACATGTCAGATAAGGGACTTATATCTAGAATTTATAAAATACTTGAGCACCACAACAAGATAAAGGTAAATAATCCAATTGAAAAATGGGCACAGGATATGAACAGACACTTCACCAAAGAAGACATTCAGATGGCCAACAAGCACATCATGATATATTCAAAATCCCTAGCTCAAAGAGAGATGCAAATCAAAACAACTATGAGATATCATCTCACCCCAGTCAGAACAGCAAAATTTAACAGAACAGCAAGCAACAAATGCTGGCGAGGTTGTGGAGAAACTGGAACCCTTATTCACAGTTGGTGGGAGTGTAAAATGATGCAACCACTGTGGAAGGCGGTAAAGCACTTTCTCAAAAAGTTGCAAATAGAAATACCATTTGACCCAACAATTCTACTACTGGGAATATATTCCAAAGAGACCAGAACTGACATCCAAGCAGATATATGCACACCCATGTTTATCGCAGCTCTGTTCACAATAGCAAGGAGTTGGAAACAACCCAGGTGCCCATCAACAAACAAATGGATAGAGAAGCTGTGGTATATTCACACAATGGAATACTACGCTGCATTGAAAAACAAGGAACTCATGCAATATTATTCAAAATGGGTGACCCTGGAGGACATTATGCTGAGTGAAATATCTCAGCGCAAAAGGACAAATATTGCATGGTGCCACTGTTGTAAAATGGGACTGATATCAGGGTTGGGGTAAGACTGAGAAAAACTGGATAAATTGTGTATACTGCACTGAAACAGACGAGGGAGTGAATAATTTAAAAGCGATATATGATAGGGTATCATGATTATCACAAGAGTCCACAATTAAGGTTGTTTAGTGGAATGTACTTGGGGTGGTGGGAGGGGTGCGGGGGGATTGTGTCCCAGGGAGGGAGTGTTTCTTTTACCTTTGAAAGAGAGGTGCAAACTGGGTGGGGGGAGGGCTGGGCAGGGAGAGAAGTGCAACAATGAATGAATGGAAATCCAAAATCTCTGTAAATGCTCATTAAAATTATTTTTAAAAAATAAAGAAAAGGGGAAAAAGAGTGTTTTATTAGGAATACAAGTAAAATGAAATATTTAACAACCTCAATCCTTTCTCCACCTATCATAATACTACCTATTGGCCTGGAGGCGAAGATCTACTTAGTTTATTGATATTGAGTTGCACTCCATAGTGAAGGCTGCAGTCTTTGCCTTTTTGCAGGAAACACTTCAAGTTCTCAGTTTCAGCCAGCAAAATTGTTTTAGCTGCATAACCCAAGTTGTTAAGTCTTGCTCCAAGCCTGATGCCACATTCTTCTTCATAAAGCCCAAACTCCCAAATAATTGTTTCACACATAGATTGAAAAGGTATGCACCACAACAAGATAAAGGTAAACAACCCAATTGAAAAATGGGCACAGGATATGAACAGACACTTCACCAAAGATGACATCCAGATGGCCAAAAAACACATGATATATTCAAAATCCCTAGCTCAAAGAGAGATGCAAATCAAAACAACTATGAGATATCATCTCACTCCAGTAAGAATAGCAAAATTTAACAGAATAGCAAACATCAAATGCTAGCGAGGTTGCAGAGAAACTGGAATGGTGCAACCACTCTGGAAGGCAGTATGGCACTTTCTCAAAAAGTTGCAAATAGAAATACCATTTGACCCAGCAATTCCACTACTGGGAATTTACCCTAAAGAAACCAAAACTGCCACCCAAGCAGATATAAGCCCACCATATTTGTTGTGGCTTTGTTTGCTATAACAAAGAGTTGGAAACAACCCAGGTACCCATCAACAAACAAATGGATAGAGAAGCTGTGGTATATTCACACTATGGAATATTATGCTGCACTGAAAAACAAGGAACTAATAAAATATTATACAAAATTGGTGACCCTGGAGGACATTATGCTGAGAGAAATATCTCAGTCACAAAAGGACAAATATTGCATAGGGACACTGTTGTAAAAGGGAACTGACATCAGGGTTGAGGGAAGACTGAGAAAGAGGGGATAAATAATGTATACTGCATTGAAACAGATGAGGGAGAGAACTGTTTTAAAAAGATATATGATTAGGTATTATTGTCATGACAGTAGTCTAGAATGAAGGCTGAACCATGGAGTGGACTTGGGGCGAGGGATTGTATAACAATGAAAGAATTTTACTTTTCATAGAGAAGAGCGAATTGGGGGGAGGGGTGGGCAGGGAGAAAAGTGCAACACTGAATGAATGGAAATCCAAAGTCTCTGTAAACTTTCAATAAAATTAATTTAAAAAAAAATAAGGTATGGAGAAAGGACACATCTCTGACGCACTCCTTTCTTGATTTTGGAATTTTCCCTTGCTCTTTCCGGACATCTTGATTCGCCTAAGTTCTTGGTTCTTAGATGTTTCACATGAGTACTATCAAAGCATTCTGGGATTCTCATTCTTCTCAATGTTAGACGCAATTTGTAACGATCCACAAAGTCAAATGCCTTTGTATAGTCAATAAAACACAGACAGACATCTTAGACTGTCAATTTTCAGCCATAATCCATGTGACTTCAGCAATGATATCCCAAGTGTCATGGGGCTCTTCTAAATCAGGCAGTTAGTTCTCTGTCCCAGTACCGTTCCAGTAGTTTTTGGATTATCTTCAGCAAGAAGTTGCTTGCATGTGATATTAGTGATATTGTTCGATAATTTCCACAGGATCACCTCTTTTGGGAATGGAAATAGATACCGATCTTCTTTCAGTCAGTTAACCAGCTACCTGTTCTCCAGATCCTAGGCACAGCCTGGTGTAGTAACGGGATAAAAGGTTAGAGGAGGGTTTCGAGAACCATTTGGAGCAAATATTCATAATAATGGAGGGGGTGGAAAGAATCTGAGTTGGATCATTGTTTGGAAAAACGGAGTACACTAAAAAGAGGGGCAGAGAGGGTAACTCCAAATATCCACCAGTCCTGCCTTCGGGGATGTGGCTTCAGCAAAATCAATATACTCCTCGCTGTACGGATGATGGCCCTGCCCTTTTCTTTAGGGGCTGTTCGTTTTAACTTCTATCCTTTTCTTTGATTCGACACAATAAATCCCTAGTTTAGGAGGGGCAGGGACCTGCGCCAGGAAAATGCAGGAGTTTCCAAGATCAGACGTTTGCCATTGGCTCCTTCTCTTCCGCTGAGGAGGAGCCTAGTTCTTCCGCGCGTTGTGCAACTCTCAGGGGAGCCAATCCTTAAACCCTAGGGAAGGAGCAGCGTTCCCATTGGCTTTCCTGCTCGCGGGAGGTGGGTCAATGCGGCCGCTCTGGTTGTTCATTGGCCTCTGGATTTGGGGGTGTAACTTGGCTGGGCCTGAACTGGCAGCTTCTGCATCCTGGACCCGGTTGCAGGGCAAAGCTGCCATGCGTTCCGGTAGCCGTGGTCGGCCCCGGCCACGGCTCGGGGAACGCGGCCTCTTGGATCCCCCCGTATTGCCTAAGCGCCGGCTGATACCGCGAGCGCAGCTGTTTCCCCTGCTGCTGCTGGCGCTGGCCGTGGGCTCCGCTTTCTACACCATCTGGAACGGCTGGCATCGCGGTACTCAGGAGCTGTCTCTCGGCCGGGAGCTGCGGGTGAGGCCATGCGCGGGTCCAGGCTGCGCGGGGACCTCCATTCCCCGCCGCCCCTTCTCCAGGGTTTCGGGATCACTGACGTGGCTTTATGGTATGGCCCTAACCGCAGGTGCTGCCGTCTTGGCCATTCGAGCGTGTGCCCTTGCCAATGGTAGAAGGTTCCGGGTTTAGTTCATAACCATGGCTCACTCTTCAGAGGAAAGGTCTGAGTGCATGAGACTGACTGTTGAGTGATCTGAGCTTTAATCCTAAATCAACCAGGAAGGGAGACCCTTCCTCACTTTGGTTCTTAATTTTTTCTATTAGGATTGGGTTGGGCTGAACCAAGGGATTTTTTTTTAGATCGTATTTATTTATTTATTCATTCATTCATTCTTTTTATGTGTGTACCGTCAAATTGGATCTGACTGGTACAGGAAGCGATTGTTCCTCCTTCAGCAGAGCATCTGGTGGATTTGAACCGCACACCTCTGGGATTGCAGTGCAGTTTCCTACCACTAGGCCACCAGAGCTCGCCTGAACCAAGGGATTTTTTAAAACCTGGGGTTAAGGATCAATCCTAGAAATCTCTGATGCTTAGAGTGCTTATGAAGAGGAACCTGGCTGACAGTTGGGGGCAGCAGTGCCTGGAGTAGGGCTCAGGGATTGCTCTCCTGTTCCACATTCTCTTCCCCTTCTCCCTTCTTCTCTGCTAAGGCCCCTGTGATTGGAAGTCTCTCTGAAGCCCGGCTGCGGAGGGTGGTCGGGCAACTGGACCCGCAGCGTCTCTGGAACACGTATTTGCGCCCCCTGCTCGTGGTGCGGACGCCGGGCAGTCCTGGTAATATACAAGTCCGAAAGGTAAAGAAAGAGGCCCCACCTCTTAAGCCCTGAGCCTTGCAACCTGCAGACAAATGAATGGGAATTGGGCGTCCAGCAAAGATTACTAAACAGTTGAGGGGCAGATGTGGGGCTTTGACTGGAAGTAATTCGACTTCAGTCCACTTGGTTGTAGGTACTGCTTCCATCAAAAGCTTAAGAGATTCACAAGCCCTATGAAATGGATAACAATCTGATCTTCATTGTGCATAGGGTGAAATGGGGGCCCTGAGAATTTATAGCTTTGCCCAAGGGAGATGGCCCATCTTTCTCCCTCAGCAGATTTGAACCACCTTTGGGTCAGCAGTGCAATTTCCCACAGACTAGGCCACCTGTTAATTCTTACTTGGAGAGGACAGAAAAGAACAGCTTAGAGTCTTCAGTGTTCTGACTTTTCAGAAGCTGATTGCCAGACTTGACCTGCCAGGCTTTTGGCTGATTAGTTGTTGTGTGCCATTGAGTCAGAATGACTCCTAACTGACCCTCCAGCAGGTTTTCAGAGGCGGTAAATCGCCTAGGAAGAGATTGTTCATCCTTCTCCTACAGAGCAGCTGGTGGATTCGAACCACATACTTTGGGACTATGGCACAGCTTCTTACCATTAGTACACCAGAACTCCCTTTTTTTTACTAGCAGTAGAACAATTTACTGTTTGTGCCATCTAAAGGTTCCTTTTTAAAAATCTCGAGAAATCCCCCCCTTTTTTAAATTATGGTTTGGGTGAAAGTTTGCAGAACAAATTAGCTTTCCATTCTATCATTTATATAAATTTTGTAACATCATTTTCTTTTTTTAAATTTTATTTTATTACTTTTTGTGTGCGTGTACTGTCAAATTCGATCTGACTGGTACAGGAGGAGCTTGTCCCTCCTCCAGCAAAGTATCTGGTGGATTCAAACCACATATCTCTGGGATTGCAGTGCAGCTTCCTGCCACTAGGCCACCAGAGCTCTGTGACATCATTTTCATTCCCCTCAATGTGGCTGCACTCTTCCCACTTTCTCCACATTTCCATTTATTCTTTCCAGATGCTTCTTGCCTTTTGTGCTTTGTTTTTTAGCAAATGCTGCTCTTTTGGCCTCATCGTTAATTGTTCTGAGTATGCTTCTCATTCAGGGACTCTGAATTAGTGGAAGACCTTCAATTTGAACCCAAATGCAGGCAGACTTCAGAGTTGGTAGTAGGGTGTCCTACTTTACCTCCCAGAAAGCATCTCAAGTTGTCTGATCATGCCTGGATTTGAATTCCAGTTCAGCCATGTAGGATATGTTCTAGGATTCCTTAACCTGTTCCCTCATCTGCAAAATGGGTCCATCCCTACCTGGCAGATTTCTGTAGTGTTTGCAGAACAGGGCCTGCCACATAGTGAGTGCTGTTTACAAGGGAGTTGTGATTGATTTTGTTGGTATCTTGCCTGTCACCCAGTAGGTGCCTGATAGATGTGTGTATCTAGGAAAGGGACTTGCAAGTCCCCCCCAAGAGCCCTTTGTGGCTCAGGATACATTTCCCTTATCCCAAACTCCCCCGCAGATACCTCTCACTCTCCCACCTCTCTTGCCACTAGTTCCTGGAGGCCACGCTGCGGACACTCTCAGCTGGCTGGCATGTGGAGCTGGACCCATTCACGGCCTCGACGCCCCTGGGGCTGATGGACTTTGGCAATGTTGTGGCCACACTGGACCCAGGGGCTGCTCGCCACCTCACCTTCGCCTGCCACTACGACTCGAAGCTCTTCCCACCTGATTCAGCTCCCTTTGTGGGGGCTACGGATTCGGCAGTGCCCTGTGCCCTGCTGCTGGAGCTGGCCCAGGCCCTCGACTTGGAGCTGAGCAGGGCCAAGGAGCAGGTGAGGAGCTGGGACTTGGGCTGGTACAAGCCTCCACTCAGGACCAGGACACCATCTTCTTTTACCTGTGTATCTGTCATCCTTCTTCATCTTCAGAAGGAACTTTCTATATTCTGAGTGTCAGGTCCTGTTCGTCCTTTTTCTAAAGCCATCTCAGAGCATAACCAGAGCCGCACTAGCCCGATGTGTGCTTTGTACCGGTCTAATCTCATCTCTCTTCCCTTCCTCTCATAACTTCTACTCTAGCTACCCTCGCCTCCTCTGTGTTCCTCTAACACCCAGGCTTCACTTCTACCTCAGGACATTTGCACTTGCTGTTTTCGTGGCTAAATCTCAACAGCAATAGTGTAGTGATTCCTGAGAGGGGTTCTGGGGCCATAATTGACTAAGTGCAAATCCTACCTCTGCCTCTTACCAGCTGTTTTCATTTGGGCAAGGGGTTTCATCTAAACCTCAGTTTTCTTATCTGTGAAATGGGCTTGGTAGGAATGATAACAGTATTCATCTTGGGGACTTAGATTAAATGAGACTAGGATCATATCCAGCCTGCAGTAACAGGGCAGCGAACATTCCTTCCATTTGGAAGAACCAGTGCCTTATTCTTTAGCTGCTTGTAATCCTCTGACGCGTGTCTAGAATGTTCTTTTCACAGTTATCTTCCTGGCTGGCTCACCCTCTATTCAGGTCACTTCCTCAAAGAGGCCTTGCTGACCTCTCTGAAATAGTTCTGGGTCACTATCTCATGCTTTGTTGAGCTCTGGTGGTCTAGTGGGTTAAGGAGTTGCGCTGCTAATCCACTTTGCACTGCAAGTGGTTTGAATCCACCCATCAAAGGAAGGATAGTCTCCTTCTGGGCATTTTATAGTCTCTGAAATCCTGTTCAAGGGTCAGCTGTGAGTTGGTTTTGTCTGGACAGCACATAAGGACAACAGCATTTCATGCTTTTGACATAATTTTCAGGAGGGCCCCCAGTTCATGGAGGGAAAGGAGAGGGTCAGTGAAAAAGAGGAAAACCATCAACGAGGAGAACGGGCACAGAGATCGTGCCAGTGGGCAGTGCACAACGGTGGCTATGAGGGGGGTGCAGGGAGGGCAGTGGTCTGTTCTGATGCTGATGGGACTGACGGGGTTGTCAGGAGCTGGAGCTGACCCAGTGGTACCGGAGGTTAATCTGGCTCCAGGTCTATGCTAGGCTGCTGCGCTCAGCAAAGACCTGGTTGGCTCTCTTTGGTTGGGCAAATGGACAGGAAGTGTGCGTGAGTTGAGGCTGAGGGCCTGGTATTGACAGGCCTGAACCGCCCCTGACCCTGCTGTTTCCCACAGGCAGCCCCGGTGACCTTGCAGCTGCTCTTCCTGGACGGCGAAGAGGCCCTGAAGGAATGGGGACCCAAGGACTCCCTTTATGGCTCCCGGCACCTGGCGCAGCTCATGGAATCTGCCCCCCACAGTCCTGGCCCCACCAGGATCCAGGCTATTGTGAGACCAGGGCCCTATGGGGGTCCTAGCGAGGAGGGAGAGGTGGGGCAGAGTGGACAGCCCCCTGTCTGGCCTCCTCCATCTCTGGCCTCTCTTCCTAGGAGCTCTTTGTGCTGCTCGATCTCCTGGGAGCCCCCCACCCGACCTTCTACAACCACTTCCCCCGCACAGCCCGCTGGTTCCATCGGCTACGGAACGTTGGTGAGGGCTGGGGTGGAGGCAGTTGGGCACTGCCTGGGATGTAGCAGGCTGGAATGGGCACCTGTCCTCTAAGGAGCCTTCCATTCTTTCTCTCTACGTCCATGGCCCATGTGTTACCTAAACGGTAACAGAAAATGACCCCACCACAATCTAGAGTAATGAAACCATAGGAGCGCTGTGGTCAGACGGCCTTCGCTTTGAACCATTTTGTGTGAACTTGGACAAGTGGCCTCATCTCTCTGGGCCTCAGTTCTGATCTGTAAAATGGGTACAGCAGTAATGATAATCAGGCTGTCAACTTTGGCTGCTCAGAGGGAGCCAACGTTGTTAAGAGGAAGAAAATCCTCAATGAGATGGCTTGATATAGTGGCTGCAACAGTGGCTTCAAACAAAGCCGAGGTTGTGAGGGTCCTGGAGGATGTGTTTCTCGTCCTGTTGTGCTCGGGGTCACTGTTAGAACCAACTCAATGGCCCCTCATAATAGTGCTCATTCCTCAAGGAGGACCCCAGCCTCCTATCTGTAAGCTGGGTCACCCCCTGAGACGCTGACCCTTGCTTTCTGACCCTTGGTGCCCCCAGAGAAGCGCCTGCACCGCCTGAACCTGTTGCAGTCTCATCCCCAGGAAGTGATGTACTTCCAGCCCGGGGAGGCCCCCGGCTCCGTGGAGGATGACCACGTGCCCTTCCTCCGCCGAGGTACGCTGCTGGGGGTACAGAGGTGGGGGGGGTCCAAGTGGGGGTAGGCTCAGGGAGCCATAAATGGGACCCGGCCCTGGGCTGACCAGTTGCTTAACCTCTTTCTGCCTCAATTTTTCTCATCTGTGAAATAAGAAATCCTTATCTCTTCTGGTGGCCTAGTGGTGAGAAGCTGCACTGCAATCCCAGAGGTGCGCGGTTCAAATCCACCAGATGCTCTGCTGGAGAAGGAGGGACAATCTCCTCCTGTACCAGTCAGATCCGATTTGATGGTACACACACTCAGACACGAGAAAAAAAATCTTTATCTCTTATTGAGGGATCCCTGGTGGCGTCATGGGTAACGTGATTGGAGGCTAACTACTGAAAGGTTGGCAGTTCAAATCTACCAGGCCCTCTGCAGGAGAAAGACAAGGTGGTCTGCCCACATTAATAGGAGGGTCGCCATGAGGGTTCTCTCTAGTTGAGGAACCCCTGGTGGTGCAGTGGGAAAGCATTACAGCTGTTAACATGCAAAGGCCTCCTGAACCCACCACCGGCTCCCTGGGAGAAAGGTGGACATTCTGCTTCCATAAAGTCAGAATTCCCATGGGGCAGTTCTCCTCTGTCCAGTAGGGTCACTGGGAGCTGGACTCACTGGACAATGGTGGGTCATTTTACTTCTAATTTTTTTTAAAAAACTTTATTTTTATTTATTTATTTATTTTTATTTTGTGCGTGTACCGTCAAATCGGATCTGACTGGTACAGGAGGAGATTATCCCTCCTTTCCCGGCAGAGCATCTGGTGGATTCAAACCATGCGCCTCTTGGATTGTAGTTGCAGCTCCTTGCCACTAGGCCACCAGAGCTCCCCTTAAAAACTTTATTTTATCAAATCCACCAGATGCTCTGCTGGAGAAGGAGGGGCAAACTCTTCCTGTACCAGTCAGATCCGATTTGATGGTACACACACAAAATAATAAAAAAAATTTAAAAAAACAAAACAAAACCAAAAAACCCTTTTTTTTATTATTTGTGTGTGTGTACAGTCAAATCGGATCTGACTGGTACAGGAGGAGATTGCTCCGCCTTTTCCAGCAGAGCATCTGGTGGATTTGAACTGCGTACCTCTGAGATTGCAGTGCAGCTTCTTACCACTAGGCCATCAGAGCTCCCTTTCTTCTAATTTTTTGTAGAGGACATTGAATGCACTTGCTCTGGTGGCCTATTGGCAAGGAGTTAGGACACTGCCAACATGAAGGCCCACAGTTCGAATCCACTAGCTCCTCTGTAGGATGAGCTCACTCCTGTGTGGTTGACAGCTTCTGGGAAGCCACGGGAGGGTCAGCTATGAGTTGGTTCAATGGCAGATACCACATATAAAGACTGTACTGGGACCAGTGCCCAGCATACAGCACACATTTAAGAAATGTGTGCTGTTATTATCTGTGCTTCTGTGCCTGCAGCGCTTGCTAGTTCTTATCTTTCCATTCAGACTTCCAAAAGTGCATGTGCGTGTGTGTGTGTAAAGCAAAACAAGATGCTGCAAGCCCTGGGTCAGTGGTGGGTCTCGGCTACACTGACCGAGTCTGTCCTGTCACCCCAGGTGTCCCCGTGCTCCACCTCATCTCCACACCCTTCCCTGCCGTGTGGCACACGCCTGCCGACTCTGAGGCCAACCTCCACCCGCCCACGGTCCACAACCTGAGCCGGATCCTCGCTGTCTTCCTGGCTGAATACCTGGGACTCTGACCTGGGGAAAGATCCCCACGGGGGGACACTCTGCTTCAAAGAAGTGACTGGCAGCGGGCACGGCGAGGGCACCTGGAGCCAGCAGCTCTCAGGGTGGGGCCGCTTAGGACATGCTGGTTTGTCCTTGATGACACCATTGGCTCCTACCTGTGCTGTGATTAGAAGACTCTCTTGCCCTTGAGTCCTGAAAGACTCGGAAGAGGCCACCATGGAGACAAGGACCAAAGAAGCAAAAGCTTGGCCTGTGCCCTGAGAGGAACACTTGGCCTAAAGGTTGAAGGGGCCACATCTCATTTGTGGACTGGCGTCTGGACCAGCAACACCTTCTGACTGAATCTGTCAGTTCCTTCCTGAATTAAGGATGGCAGACTTAATGCTGTTATCAGGGCAAGCCTCCCTCCCACACCAACCCACAGGGCCCACAGAGCATGTGTTCAAAAGTAAGGAACCGAGAAGGAAGCCAGAATCTGGGGACAACCAGCTTCTCCCATGCCCAGGAGGCAATAAGAGAGTGTTTCTGTAAAATATTCTGCAGACTTAAACATAACTAAGCATTGCAAGAAAAATAAAAGGTGGGGGAGGTGAGGGTGTATCAGAGATCAAAGAAAGTAAAGTGAGATATTAAAATTTCCCCACGCTTTGATTTTTCAAGAGGAGGAGAGAATGGGGGGCCCTGGTCATGTAGTGGTTAAGCGCCCCGCTAGTTGAAAGGCTGGTGGTCTAAGCAGTAGCCCGATGAGGAAGATCTGGTGTCAGAGTCTCTAGGGAGCTGTGGTGCTAACTCAGGCTGCATCCCTCCGGTGGTTTAAATCCCCCAGTGGCTCCTGGGGAGAGAGATGGGCATGATCCTCCTGTGTGATTTACAGCCTCTGAAAAACCCACTGGAGACTCAGCAGTGAGTCTGCTGACTCCACGGACGATGAGTTGTTGACCACATGCCATCCACCATGAGTGCTCTATCAACTCCCTTCATGATCGCCCCTAAATCTGGACGCCGGCACAAGTGCTGTGGGGCTGAGAATCACGAAGAATCCATTACTTTCCAGCGGCAAAATTCTCACCTCCATCAGCCCCTGAACTTCCAAGGCCTATCTCAATTCACCCGTGCTGTAATGTTAACTGAGCCAAGTGGCTCTGGTTTGAGTTATTACATCCTTGCAAAGTAAAGACTATTAGCCCCATTTTACAGAGGAGGCCACTGATGCTTGGCCAGAAGCATTCCCAGACCCCTTAGCCAGTAGAGGGAGCTCTAGTGTCCCAGTCCATAGTGAGTTGGGCAGCTTAATCAAAGGCCATGCTTCTCGGTGGTTCAAATCCACCCGCAGCTCTCGGGGAGAAAGACAGGTAGTCTGTTCCCAGGCAATCTACAGCCTCAGAAACCTGCTAGAGAAGTCAGCTGTGAGTCATTTCCAGCCCCGTGGCAACGAGTCTGAGTTTATAACCAGTAGAGGGAGTCCTTGTGGCATCACAGTTCAGCATTTAGAAGTTATCTGAGAGGTTGGTCATAATAACCCACTCAGTAGCTCTTGGGAATGCATCTGTGGGTACCTAGTTGTTGCTCTAAAGACGACAGCCTAGAAAACCCTTCGGAATAATCCTGTAAAGAGCTCCATTGGGTGCAGGTCAGCTCTGTCTTTGAAGTTACTATGACTCAGAAGCTCTGGTGGCCTAGTGTTAAGAAGCTGTGCTGCAATCCAGAAGGTACACAATTTGAATCTCCCAGCTGCTCTGTGGGAGAAAGATGGGCAATTGCCTCCCCTGTGATTAACTGCTTCTGAAAACCCGCTAGAGGATTCAGCTATGGGGCCAGTTCGACTCCACTGGACACAACAAGGAGTGAAAAAGGGGAGCTTCAGGAGTAAGGAATTGCTATTGAGGGTGGTGGTGTTGTTTGCCGTCAAGTCAAGCATGACTCATAGTGACCCTATGAACAAAAGGCCTGAAGCCCCCCTGTAATTATCGACATTTACCAAAGTTCATAGTTTGCAGAGGCCAGTTGTTTAGGAAGTGGATGCCAATCCTGCTTCCAAGCTTGTCTTAAACTGGGAGCTCCGTCAATCACTGTCCACCAGGCCTAAATGTTATGGCATTTGACACCCCAATGGCGCAAGGGTCAGCATCACAGCAACCCCAGGCTGTTGAGGGGGTAGACATGGGCAATCTGCTCCCTGGCTGTTTACAGCCTCTGAAAACCTGCGGGAGGGTCAGCTGAGTCTGCTCCCACTGTACAGCACATAAATTGAAGTGGGCCTACAGTTAAGTAGGCTCTGCCAATTACTATGCCCAAAAGAGGACCAAAACAGGTCTTTGAGACGGTGCAGCCATTTTGCTCTCTGGAGGCAACGTTGAAGCTTCGTCTCACATACTTTTGGCATGTTGCTAGGATAGGCCTCTCAAAAACTCTGGAAGCAGGGCTGAGGAATTTCCCCCCACCCCACCCTTGATGAAGTTGTCAACATCATAAGAGACCAGTTGGTTGAGTGGACAGAAAGTGATGCTACTAAGCCAAAGGTGGGTGACTCTAATCTGTGGCCGGCCCTCAGGTCTGTTTTTAGTTTTGGTGAAACATTCTTCTAGGTGGTCTAGCCCTGGTGTGTCCACTTGCTGTACAGAGGTAACTCGTGGTTTCTGTGAAGCTGAACACTGTGGCACTGATGTGTCAAATGCGATAATGGTTACCCACGGTGGACAGTGTTTGGTAGAGCTCCCCGATTAAAACAAGCTTGGAAGCAGGAGTGGCATCCACTTCCATAAAGAGCTTGCCTCTGGAAACCCTATGAACCTGGAGAAGTGATGAAAGTCAAACAAGTGTTGAGGACTTTTTCTTTCATTGGGTTGCTATAAATGGTCTGCAACACCGACGGCACTTAACAAGATAACCCTTGATGAGATGGATTGATTCAGTAACTGGGGTAATGGGGATAGGTGTGTCAGAGACAGTGAGATTGGCACAGGATAGAGTATGGTTTAGGGCTTTTGTACATAGGGTCACTATGAGTTGCAAGCAACTCAATGGCACATAACAACATCAAGAAACCGAGTTTCAAGTCAACGGCTCAAGATCACACGACCGGGCTCCGTGCCACTGTGTGATTTGGTGCTTTGCCACTTACCCTGTTTATGATGCATAAGGAGTTCTGGTCACCTAGTTGTAGCAAGCTGCACCACCAATTCAAATATGGCAGGGTTGGAATCCACCAGCTGCTCTTGGGGAGAAAGACAATCTCCTGCTGCTCATTTATGGCCTCTGTACAGCTCCTGCAGGGTCTGCTCTGACTCACGTGGCTTACTGTCGTTTAAAGAGTCTGTAATTCTCAATGGTTAATCTCTGTAAACACTGTCTTGCCCTGTCCTCTCTCTGGACTTTGGAATGCCTGTCAGCTGTATGTATTTTTTGGTTCTTATTCTTATTTTGTGTATGTGTGGGTTAGACTTTGCTACACAACTACTTTCTTACTTTCTGGGTGTTACTTCCTATATTACACTGGGGATTTTCTGTAACTTTGTTTTCAGTTTGATAAACCTTTCTTCAACTGTGTCTAATCTGCTGTTTGATCCATCCACCTGAGTTTTTAAGTTCTGATGTTTTCATTTATGTTTTATATGTTGGTTTCTCCCCTCCCTTTCACTTAGCTGGGCCACTTTTAAGAGTTTGGACAAGCACAGACAAGTCTAAGCTCCCCACCCCTCCTTATTTTGGGGATCGCAGCACAGCTTCTTACCAATAGGCCACCAGAGCCCCCCCTCCTTATATTTGAAGGAAGGAAAAAAGCAAACATCAATGTTGTATGATCCTTGTGGGTCTAGTTTTGCATTCTGTTGCTTCTGCTGGTTCTTGCTAACACTACTTTCTTTCCAACCATGTTCTTGTTTTTGACCATGTACCATTCATCATATGAAAAATATTTGTGGGACTTTCTGTATGATAGTGCCTTCTACCAGAGTACTGTCCCCCCACCCCCCCCAGACATGATGATATCCTCCATCACACAGGGGATGCAAACCTCAAATGACATATTTGGCAAGGGCTAATGTACAGCCAGAAAATTTAAGTAAAAAAAATTTTCTTTCCTTTGCTCTGGTGCTCGCAGTGCTGTGGGTTCCTACGGGAATAATTAGAAGTGGGACCCTCCGTCAGATGGCAGAGGCACCACCTGCCCTTCTGAGTCCTCAGAGTGAGAAAAGATGAAGGTTCTAACCTCAGGAGCTCCCCATCTGAGAAGGGAAAATGCAATGACACGTCCCTGTTTCCAGAGAGCCCCAAAATCTGAGAGAGGAGTCCGAAACTCACCTTGCAGATGCTGTCTGAGGGTGGCCTTCTTCAGACAAGGCTTCTCTGCCTGCTGCTCCTTTGAGAGGAGGTGTGTATTCCATCTTTTCTGGATTATCCTTATAGGAGTTTGTAGTTCTCAGGGATTCCGGCTAACTTCAGAGTCTCACACTTGGGGAGACTTTGGCTTTACCTTCTACCCATGTGTATAGATGGCTACCAAATGAGAAACCCAAGTCTGTTCCCATCGAGAGACACTCTTGGGAGAACACAGGAGCATCAGGTCCCAGGATGCATTGCTATTACGTTTCTGGCCTGGTGAATCCTGACTGTATCTCACTATTTGACACTCGATGAAGTGATTGATCCCACCAGAAACCTAAGTCTCACAAAACCAAGTTCAGATTCAAACCCAGTCTCTTGTCTCTAAAACCTAAGCACCAAATAACTACAGTGAATGCTGTGCATATGATCTTCTGGTATATTCAAGGTTTTCTGCTTTTGATTCTGGTGCTGTCTTAGCACTTTCCTATCTCATTTTATTCCATTTAAATCCATCCCTGTGTCTAAACTTTATCTGTGGGCAACTGTAGCCATTTTGATCTTGTATAGTGAATTGTTCTAAGCAGTGTGTTCCTTCCTGGTGTCACAGATTACGTTACTGTCCTATTATTCTCGTGGTTTGTTTTTTTTATTTTTAAATTTTATTATTTTTGTGTGTGTGTACCATCAAATCAGATCTTGGACCGGTACAGGAGGAGACTGTCCCTCCTTCTCCAGCAGAGCATCTGATATTCAAACCGTACAACTCCGAGATTGCAGTGCAGCTTCTTGCCACTAGGCCACCAGAGCTCTACTCTGTTAGTTTTAATGAAAACGATCTTCATTTCCTTCTCTGACAGGTTTCTTCCTTACACTGGTCTGGCTTTCTCAACTTTTACTCTTTTTCTTGGTATCTGTGGAAGGTAAGTGTCAGACTGCTAGCTGCCTCTTAGTCATTCTTCTGGTTTCTTTTATATTTAATTTTAAAAAGTGTTTTACACACCCTACTTCTGGGAGGAAAGCAGCTCCCCAGTCTTTGTCCCTACCTCCAGCCTGCAAAATAGTGATGGCAGGAGCTCATGCAGCCACTTTGGACTATGAGGACAAGGCAAAGGATGATGGGCACAATGATCAAGAAGGAGCCTGGGTTCTTGATCACCTTGGAAGGCACCATTCAGCTGTCCAGTACTGGATTTCTTTACATGACTACTATTTTTGGAGTTTTCTAATCCAAACCAACACAGGTGAGATGAATCCAAAATAATTTCAGGCTAACAGACTTGGCTAAGGACTCCTTCTGTCTCCCTATCCTGACATGCACAGGCCTGTGGTGACACTTTAAAAAAATTTTTTTTTATTTTATTATTTTTTGTTCATGTACCGTCATATCAGATCTGACTGGTACAGGAGGAAATTGTCCCTCCTTCTCCGGCAGAGGATCTGGTGGATTTGAACTGTGTACCTCCAAGACTGCAATGCAGCTTCTTGCCACTAGGCCACCAGAGCTCCCCTGGTGACACCTTTTTTGTGCATCCTTCCCCCCCCCCCCAAACACACAAACCAGTCTGGGTGAGCCCTATAAATATTGATTTTATAGAAAGGACCAATTAAAAATTGGTCAAATGTCACACGCTAGAAGCTTCCAGAACCACAACGTTGAAAAAAAGAAAAGAAACCAAACCAAGAACACAAACCAACCCCCCAAAACAGAAATAAAACAAAAATACCCTGGGACCAAGTGCCTGAAAAAATCAGTATCTCAGTTGATCAAAGGATTCTAAATGAACATATGTGGCTTGGGGGGTACGTTTGAAGAGACCCCAACACCTGAAAAAGTACCCAGAGTTGAAGGAAAAAACCCAGAACTTCCCTGCCCACTGGCCCCCCGCACTCTGTTAAGAGTGTGACAAGGGCTTCACAGCTTTTTTTTTTCTTCCTTTTTACATTTTAGGAGTGTAGGGGTGATGGCAATATCTTAAATAGTCAGAAGAGGGGATTTTTCTACTTCATCTTTCCCCTCTCTTGAGCCCACAGTAATTAAGGAGGGGAATCTCTCAGAGTGGCAGACTGCTATGAAAAGTGCCTCTGGACCTCTGACCTGTGTTCTGGTTTCTCAAAATCTTGGACTTGGAAGGACCAGGAAAAGGGGACAACTTGTGGCTAGATGCCACAGACTCTTGAAAGAAAACTGCCCCAGAGAGGAAGGGCTGGAGGAGGGGGTGAGAGAGGGCCAGGATGGGGGAACCCTTAAAATTAGCTGCCATCTGCTCCCTGCTGGTGGGTCCCTGGGGTGCGGAGGGAGGGTGCTGGGGCCGAGTGCTGAAGAAAATGAGATGCTCATTTTAAAAACCAAACCAAACCAACCACCACCCTCCTTGAGGCTCCAACGGCCCTGGGGGGAATCTGAGGAGTAAGAAAAACCAACATGGGTCAGTCAGGGAACTGAGAGTGCTGGTTGGGGTCACCTCCATGGACCCCGTCAAGGGTCCTATTGGGTAACCAAGGCTCCCTGGCAGCAAGTCCCCGCTGGTGACCCCGTCCTGGCCCTCAGCTCCCAGGGAGCAGGGGCGGGGTGGGCCTGGCGCCTCCCCCGCCCGGCCCGGCTTCACCTGCCCTCCTCGCGGCCCGCCCGGCCCCCACCCGGCCCGTTGCAGGGCAGCACCCAGTTATTGTCGTGCAGGCCCAGGCGACAGCCCGGCGTCTCGCGGTCAGCCCTGCGGCAGCACATCCAGTAGGAGCGTCCGTAAGGCAGGTCATGGTGGTAGGGTTTGGGGTGCCAGCGGCACAGTGACACATCGCCCTTCTCGTACCGCTTGCGGCACTGCTTGCAGGGGTCGTCACGGTACAGGGGGTCTCGGCTCCAGCGCGAGTCGGTGGCGCGCACGCCGAATGCCTCGATGATGCCCTTGAAGTGGTGGCAGGTGCACTTGAGGGCCGCCAGGGCCCGGGTGGGCAGGAAGCTGAAGATCTTGACCAGCACGTGCTCCGGCAGCTGCAGCATGTACTGCCGCGGCTCCAGCAGCCGCTGGATCTTGAAGCGGATCTCCAGGAAATCGTGCGACACGTGGCGGTAGAGGCGGCACAGCGAGGTGTCTGCCGTCCCCTCCGAGTCCTCCGGGCCCGGCACGGTGGCCGGCGCGTCGCTGGGGGGTGGCTCGGGAGGCCCATCCGGTCCCCGGGTCTGCAGGAAGAAGAGCTGGCCGGGAGGGGGCGGCTCCTCGGGGCTGACTGTCAGGCACACCGTCTCCTCCTTCACGTTCTTGGTGCCGTCCTTGCCGAAGAAGATGCACTCGTCCACCACGCCGGTCACCACCACGTCCACATGGAAGCCCGAGGCCCCGCAGTCCCGCGCGGGGGGCGGCGGGGGCGCGGGGGGCGTGTCCTCAGGCCGGACCGGGGCCGGAGTCTCCTCGCTGGCCTCATCCGCCCTGGCCAGCAGGAACTCCACGTTGCTGGGGAGGGCGTCCCTCGAGGGGCTGATGAGCTGGTACAGGTCGCAGGTGATCTTGTCCTTGGCCCGGGCTCCAGGGCCCGGACTGCTGGGGTATGTGCAGCCTGGCCGGCCCCCGGCCCCGCTGGCCAAGCCGCCGTCCGGGGCCCGGGGCTCGCGGCCGTTGGAGATGCGGAAGGCGATGCGCACCTCGCCGGGGCCCGGGCCAGGCCGCTCCTCCTTGCGGAGACCCTTGGCCGGAGGACTGTCCCGTTGGGCCTCAAAGTGGGCCACTGCCTCGGCCACCCGACTGCAGTCCCCGCCACCACCTCCAGGCCGCCGCTCGGACCCCAGCCCCTTGGCCGGCCCTCCCTGCTCAGCGGCCACAAAGACCACCGGCGCCGGGGCACCTGGACGGGGGTAGCTCTGCAGCGCCAGGGCGGCTCGCTGCTCCACCAGGGCCACCATCTCGGCCACCGAGAGCAGATCCATGTCCTCGCCGGCTGAGCCTGGGGTCCCTTCGGCAGCAGGGAGACCCTCGCGGCCCCCAGGGTCCAGCGGGGCTTTGGTGGGCTCCAGGCAGCGTCTCCGCCGCTTGGCCTTGGAGCTGTCACTCCCCCAGTGGCCCTTGACCTTCATGGAGCTAGCCCGGCTGCCCCCGCCGCACTGGTGGGCCACAAAGAAGGCCACCTTCTCTTTCGTGTTCCCGGGCTTGATCACGTACCACGTGTCCAGCAACACTCGTCCCTCGTCCCCTGCGGCTGCCGCAGAGAGGAGCGGGGCGGGCTGGGGGGCCGGGGTCTCCGGGGCCAGGGCGGGGGGCGTGTTCTCTGAGTGGGCAGGCTCGTGGTCCGGTTCTGCTCCACTGCCCGGCTCTGGGCAGGCCGACGGCTTGAGGGCAGCGGAGGGCGGGCGAGGCTGGTTCTGTGAGTAGGTTCCAAAGGGGCGGGGGCACCATAGCTGGAAGGGCAGGAGGCTGCCACGGTCCATGGTGGGGGAGGGGTGGAGTCACAGGCTGGGGTTCACCGCATCGCAGGAGCTGGATGGTGGTGGGGGGCTCCACCGGCCACCTGCAGGCAGGGAAGACAAGATTAGGGACTTGTTTCTTATGTCCACTCTGTCCTCAACTTCTCCCAACAGGACAGTCCGAGACCCTCAAGGAGTTCTGTTCTTGCCCCACGGAGCAAACAGAAGCCTGAGAAGGCCATGGGACTTACTCTTTAACGGAGAACAGAACCCTAGATGGTGGACTGTACCAAGGCCACAGCCCTATTGCAACTACCCAGCTGCCTTTACTTACTATAAAAAGGCCAAAAGCTGACAAGAGTTTTCAACTCCAGTCAAAGTACCAACTGACTAAAACCTTAAAAAAAAATCTCCTTTTGGTAAGCGCATCCTCAGTGGCCAGTTCCTGAAAAAGCAAGAATTCCCAGCCTTGCCCAAGACCCTGGCTGCTTGGACCCACAGAGGATGAACAGGAGGGCTGAGCGAGAGAAGAAAATCCCAGCAGGTCACAGCCAGAAGGGACCTTACAGGATGAACTCCTCTTTTCCTCGGGGTGTGGGGCTCTGGGCAACGATTTCTTCCAGCTTTGGATGGTCATCCAGACAAAGAAATTCAAATCTGGATCGTGCAATTCACCTCGAATGGGAACTGAATCTTATCTGACCCTCCAACAGGTTTCTGTGGGGGTCAACTACATGGGAGGAGATTGCTTTCCCTTGTCCAGAGAAGCGGATGGATTCAAACGGCCAAGGGAGCACGTGGTGGATTCGAACGAACCTCTGAGTTAGGAGAGTAATTTACCATCAGAGCTCCTTTTTAGTTTTTTGTTGTTGTTGTTGTTGGGTTGGTTTTTTTTTTTAATTATTAATTTTACAGAAGCAACAGCCACAGACTCTAGGGACCCAGGACGGCTTTTGTCTAGCCCCTCAAGTCGTACAGAGAGCCAAAACAAGGCCCTCTAACTGGCTTTTGCTCTTCCCAGTTCAGAAGCCAGTCACTTCTCCGGTATTCAAGAACCTGAGCTATTTGGAGTCCGTTTGGTCATGAACTGACCAGACGATTAAAGAGAACATCTCTCAGTGGTTCCTAGAAGACCCCTTTCCCTCCAGAAAACTGGAACCCAAATTATCTTCTAACCTTGATCCTTTCATATGCCTGGAGACAGGGGTCAGCAAACTCTGGCCTTTGGGCCAAACTAGACCATAGTCTATCTTTGTGAATAAAGTTTTATTGAACCGTGCTCATTCATTTGTGGCTGCCTCTGTGTATAATGGCAGAGTTGAAAAGTTATGGAGGGACCAGGTGGCAGGCAAACAAAAATACTCACTAGTGGACGCTTAACAGAAGTTTGCTCATTTCTGCCAAATCTAAACATCTAATCAATGATACCGACTTCTAACTACCCTGTAAGACTGACCAGAACTGGCCATATGATTTCCACAGCTCATCAGCATTGTTTCATCTTTCTTCTTCCACAGAACACCCCTGGGTTCAAACTGCCAATCTTTAAAGGCCACCACTACCCACCCGCTGCCATGGAGTTGACTGCAATGGGGACCCTCCACTGGGATTCTGGAGCAGTACATGTGTATAGGAAGAGACTCACTTAACTGTCTCCCTAGAAGCAGCTGGTGGATTTGAACCTCTAACCCTTTAGTTAGAAGCCCAACATATAGTCCACTACATCACCACGCTCCTGACATGATCCTGGTCTTGCAGATACCATTCATAACCAGACAGCACAACCCCACTCCCTAAACCCAGACATCATCCATAAGAGTCACCCAATCCAAGGAATCCTTACCTTACCCTATAATCTTTAACCCCACCTATCTCCCAAATACAGCCCATGCTGAAATTCATTCCTTTAGAGGAGGGCAAGAAAATTTCTCACACATACACACACACATCCTCCATGAACTATATGACAGTTTATCAATTACGAATTTAGCCACATGCAAATACCCCGAAAACAGAAATATTCCCCACCTCCCTCCAAGACCTACAGATGATAAAATTTATCAAGCAACAATTTAGCTACATGCAAACATTGAGAGTGGGAGCAAAGGTTATTCTTTACTCCTCCAAAACAGCTCCCCTCAAATCTTTCCAAGCAGTACCCACCTTGATCTAAACCCTTTCAAATTCTACTTTAACCCCCAAGCCTAAAAAGTAGCCCTTCAAGCAAGCCGCTCCCAATCTCAATGAACTCCTCCCAAATCTGGTGCTTATCAAAAACCTCTGATACACACGGCAATTTCCCAACCTCAAAGATGTGTCAATCCTATCATCAACCCAAACTTTTAACTCTTCCACATATTCCATATTTCCACAGAAGTCTCCACTGTCAAAGAACCCACTAAAATAGAACACTCCTTAAGTTGTCAGATTAACCTTAAAACGTATATTTTTCCAAGTCAAAAGAAGCCTCTAAATAAATCTCACAAATGTTCCAACCACAAACAAGGCAACATGTGTTTATAGGAAGCTCACCACAAGCTTACTAGGGGATTGTTCCAACAATCCCTGCTACATCGCCTCTGACCTCCCAGGCAGACACAACCCTGATTTCCAGGTGAAGCACAGAAAGGTTCACTCGCTCATTCCAGGTTTGACAGGTGGAACAACTCCGGACAGACACAAACCTAGGGAGCTGGCTCCCAAATTGGTCGCCTTGCATTCTTACTAAATCTTCTCACATCCTACACCCACCAAAACCAATTCAAGCCCCAAAAGAAACCCTGGTTCTTTCAAATCACACAAAAAAAAAAATCCAAACCACAAGGGCACCCCTTGATCTCAAGGGAACCTCCAAGTATTTCTTACACCCACGCACGCTTCCCCAAACCTTAAAGTATCCTTTAAATTAAAAAGAAACCCCGGAATTTTCTAACACCCCACCAACACCCCAATGAATAAACCGAACCCCATAGACGACCCTCAAAACCTAGACACGCCCCCGCAGCGCCCTCACCCGCTAGCCCCCCCAGGCGGCGGGAGTGGGGCGGCCGACATACACGCATGCGCGCCAACAAGACAGAAGGCCCCGCCCTCTCCCTCCCACCTTCAGGCCTCGACTAATTTCCCTCCGCCCCTTTGTTGACAGACTCGCGCGTGACGCTCCTAGCCAATGAGAGACCGCGGTTCGGGGCCGTGCCCATATAAGGAACGTCTTGGCGACCAGGCCAACTTTGGGAGAGGGAGGAGTAAGTGATTGGTGACTGGGGGCGTGGAAACGGCCGGATTTAAGGGAGTGTGGGTCAATTCCCAACAGGAAGGAACAAGGCCAAGGCATAGGCTAGGGTATTCAGGAGAATCTAATTAGATCACGATCCCTCGACAACGGGGCCCTGACTGACAGTTGGGATTTAAAGGGTCAGAAGGCTTGGGCTAGAAAACTCCAGGGCGGAAGGAAGCTGATGGACAGATCAAAAAGTGACCGGCTTTGGCGAGGAACCAGGGGGCGAACATTTGTGGGCACCTGGATCACCTCATTCGGGAAAACAAACAGGCAGAACCTCCCGAAAGGCTCCCATCACACTTATCTTGCCATTCATGGCCACAAAAAGATCTCTCAATTCACCCTTTCCAACCAGGAGCCCCAAGTCTGAGAGGCGGTCCAGGAAAAGACCACCATGGCTCAATTATCAATTCGTGTTAAAATGATAGCATTTTAGGATTAACTTAAGTTCTAAAACTCAACCCCAACCGTTTATTTGAACCTTTTTAATGTAGAAGCCCGTGGAGCTTTGGTGGTGCAGTGAAGTCTGCGTTTTGCTCCACGGGCAAAAATCTCTTCAAGTTACTGTCTTGGAAACTCTATGGGGCCACTCTGGGCTGAGTCCCCTCCACTGCAATGGGTCTTGGGGTGGTACGGTGGCCAAGCGGTCACTTGTGGCTGTGTGGGAGCTGACCAGCTCCTCTCCTAACCATTTCAGCCTAGGAAACTCAACAGCCAATAGGCATGTGGTTTAGGAAGTGGATGCCACCCCTGCTTCCAAACCTGTCTTAAACTGGGAGCTCCGCCAAACACTTCCCAACATGGGCCACCGTTATGGCATTTAATAACACCCAAAAGGCACAAGACTCAGCATCACAGCAAACCGAGATTACCTGAGTACCGCAGACAGAAGAGTGCTGTATGATTTAGAAGTATGTTGAAAAAAGAGTGATGATATATCATCTTGCTCAGTAACAGTAGCAAAATTCTACTGGGACAGTAAACAAGTAATGGCAAGAATGTGGAGTGAATGGAAATGATGCAACCATCACAGAATAGTCTCACACTTTCTTAACATACTGAAAATGTAAACACCATCTAGCAATCTCATTAATTATAGATCCTAAAAAAGCAAATCCTACATGAACCAATACATACACACTCATTTTTACTGCAGAATTATTTACAGTAGAAAAGATACCCAAGTGTCCATAAATGATTAAGGAAACTATGACACATTCACATAATGGAGTACTATGCAACACTTAAAAGCACTAACGAATTCATGAAGCACTGCATAACATGTATAACAGAAGATATTACATAGCCCCTCCTAATAACATACCCAAAGTATGTGAGATGAAGTCTTTGGCATCCTTGCCTCTAAGGCGTACTCTGGTCACACTTTCTCCAAGACTTGTTTGTTCTTTTGTTCTAACAACCTGACTCATAGCAATCCTAAAGGGCACAGGAAAAATGCCCAGTAGGGTCTGCTGTGACACACACACACACAGGATTTCCAAGGCTGTAATCTTTAGTGTTAAGGAGTTGTGCTGCCAATCCAAAGGCCCACGGTTCAAATCCACCAGCTACCAAAGAGAATAAAGAGGATCAATCTCCTCCCATAGAATGTGTCTTTGAAAACTTGCTGGAAGGTCAGCTATGAGTTGATTCCAACTCAAAAGTACTTAACAACAACAACCACCACCCCCACCTTCCTGGAAGCAGACTGCCTCATATTCTCCCAGCTGGTGGGTATGAACTG